AGAGTGGTTTAGCTCAACTGGAATGAACACGAATACAATCACAGGTATTTTCTACACTACTCACACCGCTATTTTCTGCTCCTTCTACACTACCAGGTAAGCCTACTATAAAAACACAAGCAGTCCTGGGTCCTCTGATGCAAGACTGATACATTTTGTAGATATATGATCTGTATTTTTCTCTGCTTTCATCAAGAAGACAGTTTCTGCACTTCAAATACATTTACGGTCTGGAGTTGGGCACTCAGCTCCATGACCCTATCCAGTCTTTGACTGATATGATGGGAATCGGTAATACTTTTCATTCTTCTACCCTTTTTTTGAGAGATTAACTACTTTGTCTTGGCATAAAATAGGGAATAAGAAGATGAATTATTAGCCTGGGTTGACTAATACAAGATAAAATCCAAGTGAAGACAAAGTAATTAGTACTTCTCACATGAATGATGAGATTAAGGTAAATGCTTGACTTCTGACTTGGTCATATTCTTTCTTTTCAACTACGTTAATCTTCAGAAGGTTTTCACACTAAATTGAGAATGCTCGTTCCTAGTGAAGACTTACTTTCCCGAGTTCCTTTAGCAATCACCAGTTACAGGCCTTACACCTCTGAAGAGTATCTGCTGACTTTTAAACTAGATACTTCACATTAAACATAGTCAAGAGGGACTGTCATGTTTCACGGTTAAGACTTGGTCCACAGCAATTTTAAAGGTATCATTAAAGACTGTTCAAAACCAACGAAGACTTCATAGCTCATACACAGAAGGAAGGTATGTGATTCAAAACCTGAGAGCTCAGGAGTGAGGTTTAATCCATGCTTCCTTTATTTTACATGATATGACATGCTCATTAACACTAAAATATTCTGTGAGGTTTATCAGATTCTGAGCAGAAAATTACTCACAGACATATGGAATTTGCTTCAATTTTGAAATGTTGAAACAGTATCACATAGTGTAAACTCAGGCCACAGCTTGAAAATTTACATATCAATCCTGGTGTTTCAGATAGTGGGGCTCACAGCCATGCTTAGTTTTCACTTTTACTACAAGAGACAACAGCTTTGTGTATGTTCATCTACAAAATTTCTAGCAAGTTTTTATATTTTGTCCTGTAAAAATATGCTGGCACAACTGAATAGCACAAAAATTCTACCCTGTCTCTACCGTGCCCACACAAACGATGTTATGGGACAAAAGACACATATATTTCATGATTTCATAATCTGAGTAAGTTCTATCCCTCTGCTTTATTTAGTAGCAAGAATGATTTTTTGGCTTGTTGAGAATTTCATCAACAATATGTCAGTGATGATGTCCTACAACTTCAGCTATGAAAAGTGTTTTTATCTCCTTCTCACTAAATGCATGCAGAGCTCAGAAGTTAAGTAACCTGCCAAATATTTAGCAAGTGGTAACATCTAAAGCAGAACATGGAAATTCAAACATTCATCCTAAGACAGACTGGGCTCTCACCCACTGCTTTGGAACAACACCAGCAATGATCTGATTAAGAAAAGATGTTGATGGATTTTGAAGGAGGCTATACCCAGACAGATGGAGAAATTAATAGACTGAGTGATGTAAGTCAAACTAAATAACTGCAACCGTCTATTAATCCCCATGAACATGACTCATTGTACAGGAAAAAGGTAAGAAACAGCAACCTGTGTCTTGGGAAGAAGAAAAGCTAAGCTGGAAATAGGGAAAAATGCAAAGATGACAAGAAGGAATATAGTTAAGACTAAGACCTTGACCTCCCCAAATAGAGTCTGTACATGCCCTGCTCTGTCATGCTTATGTCAATCAGCACGGCATTTTGCAGTATGCTCCTAAAGCTCTGAAGCTTAAAATAGTCACTCCCTTAATGTCTTAATCTTTCTTCTTAATATTTGTGACCAAGTGTAACTGACTATTTCTGACTAAACCGAGCCACTGAAATCCCTCCTTCCATAAACCAACAATAAAATCTGAAGCTGGCCCATCAGGGTGCTAGTCCCCTTTATTGGGAATGTCAGATGAAAGGGAGACGTGATTAAGAGGAGCTTTGTCTCCTGGCATCACCATTCTCTTTCCAGCAATACCTTTTACAAAAAGACTTAAAAACCAACAAAATAAATACAAAAATCAGGGCACACCCACAGCTCATTCTATTTCCACATAAAAATTACTTAATTCCAGAATCATTAGACATTTCCAAATCACACTAATTATTCTGGAATAGAAGAACTAATTTCCAAATAGTTGCCATGGTAGGGAGCTAATTCCAGTCATCTTTTCATAAACAACCCCTTAATCATGTGAAGAATCTGGTTAGCTTCAATAGGATCTCCTATTTGGGCAGCATAACCAAGTCCTAACTGCATGCCTGAAGGACAGGGAGGAAAAGAAGGACTGCATCACATAAAAGGCATTCTAGTTCTCCTCCTCTTTATGGGCACTGGCATCTACAGAGTTGACAGAGAAAGAGACTGTGCATGTTTTTAAGAAGCTAATATGCAGAAAAATCACTCTGATGGTCAAAAAAAGCCTATTAATCAGCATTCCTAAGCACAGGAATGCATCTCAGCAGTTAGCAATTTATGGTGGTGATTATAGCAATCTATTTGTGGTGCAAATGCTTAAAAAGCAAGAGAGGTTTTGGAATGATTTTTCAAGTTCTTCGAAAATATGGTGAGCTTTTACCACACAACATTGGTGATCCAAAAGCCACATCTTTAGGGAAAAAAACAACCCACAAAACACAAAAAAAAACCCTAAAACCAAAATCAAAACAACAAAACCACCACAAACAAAACCCAAAGCAGATTCATTAAAACCAGACAGAACTAGAATTTGGACCCATGTCCTCCTCTGGTGTCCTGATTTCTGGCAGATAACACAAACTGAGAAAGTAAGCATGTGGCAGGTTCTCCTGCCCATTACTCATGCAGACCCTGGATCTGGGATAGCCTAGAACATACCAAGATACACCCTACAACACCTTTTTAAGAATAATTCACTAACACAGGTTATGTCCTGTGCTTTGAAATAGTAAGCAATCGGTATACCACAGTTCATTAGTGACCCTTAATCTTTCAGTGACATACCACATGAATCATTGAAAAAAATTACTATCTTTCTCAGCCTCAATTCCAACCATCTAGAGAAACAGAAATGTTTTCCAAAATAAAAGCTTATTGTAGCAATTAAATAAAAGGCTGAAAATCAGAGAGGTGTCAACAGGATTACATGCTCTACTTTCAATGAAGGTATCATCAGTGAAAGATATTACTAACCGTACTCTTGTTCAGTTTTCAACTGATTGCAAAGTGTGTCCTTATTTCTTTACACATGCACTTGTGTTTCTGGCAGTAGAAAACACTCAGCTGAAGTACAAGAACATGTACTATTCAAACTGGGAATGGACTTGCTGCAGAGGAAGGAGAAATTCTGCCACTGCCCTCCACTAGCAGCAGCGTGAACGGGGCATATACCCCATCACCTAACTTTGATGGGTAAGTATGTGCTCAGAACATCCTGTCACTCCCAGCAGCAACATCCAGCTCAATTTATATCACAACAAATTAATTCTGAAGCACATGAAACAGCTGAGCTGATCCAGCAGCTTACTTACAAGCTGGATCCAACAAGAGACATCTCAGTTTCTTTTCACCCAACCTGACTACGTGATTTTCTCTCTTCTCCAGTTCTGGTTGCCTTCTGGACCAATTCAGCTTTCCAAAACAACAGAACACTGTTCTCTATTTCTCTTTTTCTGTATATTATTGTTAGGTTATTGTTTTGCTTATGTGGTTAAGTGAGCTGAATCAACTCACACAGGTGGCCAGATGAGCAGCATAACCAACCAGCAGGCAAGGAGAATTCCATAGCTGCAAGAGGGAGTTTTTTGTCTTTTGAGAACAGAGAGCTGTTAGATCTCCTCTATCCTTCACACATCATTTCACCCTAAATGACAGGTGCACAAGCGACCTGCACACTTGCTGCTTTAACTCTGCAGGAGAGATTTTTCCACTAAGAGGAAACTTTCCTCTGATTGACAGATTAGTGCACCAAAACCGATGCCTTTAAAAACAACCCTCTCCCCTTCCCAAAACTGCTGTGAACTGACTTTGGGAAACCACACAAAGGTCTTGCAGTGAGAAACTGAAGTAAATAGCATGTGTAGCAATTAATAAAGCAAATCACAGATAGAGGCATGAGACTGTAAAGGCATGCTGCATGAATCATGCACATTCCCTGGCTGGGAATTTAGGGAGTGATTAGAATCACAGTACAGACTGTTTATAGTAGGAAGGAAAAGAAGACACCTTTCCCTGCATTCCCCCACACCCACACCACACAAATGAATCACTGAATTAAAGTGCTACTCTACCTGAAAGGTCACTGCTTTCAATTCTTCGCAGGTCTGAATCAGCCCAGAACAACTTGCCTAGCTGGCTGTCAATAGCTAAGGCTATAGGCTTGCTCAAACCACTGAAGAAAAGGACCTCTCTTTCTGTTCCATCCAATGCTGCTCGCTCAATTTTAGGAGACCTTTCCTGTAGGTTGGTGAAATACACGTATCTGGAATAGGAATGATGAGAGGGAAAAAAGTTTATTGGATCTTTCCACAGTTTTACTATATGACCAAGCCACATTAACAAATGGCGCTTTTATTCTGACAAAGAGAAACCAACCTGCAGCAAGAAAACAATTTGATTCTCAAGGCCTTCATCCTGAATTTCCCCACATCATGTTTCAACTACATACCCTTTCTCTGGGTTCACCACAATGGCTCTGGGCTTATCTTGATCTCCTTTGAGCACTACTCCCATGGGTTTCCCATCCAGGCGTGTCACATTGATCACATTAGTAGCTTCGCAGGTCCAGTAGATATAGCGACTGTAGATGTCAATGCTCAGATCATACGGCTGCATATCTAGGTTCTGATTGGGGACTGGACTTGTCACAACAGTGAGGCTCTACAAACGAAAGAAAAACAAGCAAGAGAAGAGCATTTAATCTGATCTAACATGAGCAATTTTATTTTGCTATGGATGCACCACATCAAACTACTGCTCAGAAAAAGGAGGTGGCCAAAATACTATCATAAAGTAAGGAGACACCCAGATCCAGTTTCCCCACCAACACTTTTGATCAGATATAGACACATAGTGCTGATGGTCTGTTGTAACTGCAAGCATGTAAGTTGGTTGAAGGTCAAAAGACTTTGCAATTTTGACCAGTAAGTCCAAATTGTCTCTATGTTGAAAAGTCAGGGTCAGCTTCTGCATTTCTTCTTGCTTTCTTGACAGCTCTTAAGTTTGGTTTGGATAGACCCAAAGCCAGCACATTTAGCACTCTAAACTGACATAGATGACCACTACTTCCAAAGCTGCAGCTGAACACATAAAAACACAGGCAAAGTGAGGCCAGACAGCACCTGAAATTCTTGGCTCATTCTTTTCCACCATTGCTGTCATCATACTAAGGGGCCATAAGGATGAATAATAAATAGGAAGGTAACTCTGCCAACAGACAGAAAGGACATCAGCTGGTGTACAACAGTGACGTTAGAGCATTTCCAGCAAACACCTTTCTGCTTCAAAGTTCTTGCCTTCTACTGGGCCAGAACTCTGGAGTTCATGTGCCTTTCTGTTTTACTTATTTTTTAAGACAGAACTTAGGGAAAGCTGAACCAAACTGACATCTTTCATGGGCTTTTCAAGAAATCTGAAGAGGAGTGATAACTCACAGAACACAGCCTCACATCATCTTTTTGGGAAACTTTGTGCTTTTGAGGTGAGCAGCCTCCACCCCTTCAACCCCAAATTAAACTTCACCAGAAAATTTGCCTAACTTTATTTAGCTTGTCACCTCTTTGAAAGGGTGTGCCTATGTGTTTTACATTTGTTTATTCTGCTGAAGCTGGCAAAACCCTGGTGCCTTGGACTAGTTTTGGGTGTTAAATTATGTAGATATTCCAAAATTAAAATGGTTGCTAAATTAAGAGTTAACATTGAAGGGCCTTCA